AGCCCCGGGGGGAGAGCTTCCACCCAGAGGAGGACTGCCCTGCCCTGGCAGCACGTTCTACAGGCAGTATCAGTCTGCCTGGTATGCCCCACGGGGGTTTGTGCCTCATTCCTCCTTCATGTCCTTCCACTTACTCCTCCCTAACCCCCTTTCCTACTGTACAATAAAAGACACATGTTCATTACAACAAAGTCTCTTTATTGAACAAAACAATATAGGGGGGGAATGAAACCGAGGTGAGACTGGGGAAAGAAGGTGGGAGAAGGGAAGAGGGAGGGTGAGAGAGGGGAGGGGGAAACCTGGGAGGAGGGAGATGGCAGGGGAGGCAAGGGGATCAAGGGGAAGGAGAAGCTCAGGGCTCAGGGTTGGAGGTCTCGCTGGCCCAACTGTCTCCCAGCACTGCGAGTGCAGGGGCCTCGGCATCCCCGGGAGGGTGGGGAGGGTGTGGAGGAATAAGCAGGAGCGGGAGAAGGAGTGGAAGGAGGAGCGATAGCTGGGGAGACAGCAGGGGCTGGAGCAGCAGGAGGCAGCAATCTCTGCACCAGGGTCTGCAGGTAGTCGCAGATGGCACGGCCCTATTCAAGCAGCTCCCGCCCGCTCCCCCGCCAGAGCTGCAGGTCTTCATGCACCCAGTAGTCCAGGGTGCGGTGCTGGCCTCACAGGATCCCCAGGTGTTACCGCTGGTACTCCTCCTGGTTACGGGAGGCCCTGTTTCGAAATAAGCGTCTACACCGTGCTTATTTCGAAATAGCAATTTCGAAATTGGCGCTATTCCTCGTGGAAAGAGGTTTAATCTACACCGTGCTGATTTCGAAATAGCAATTTCGAAATGGCGCTATTCCTCGTGGAAAGAGGTTTACCAATTTTGAAATGAGCCCTCCGCTATTTCAAATTAATTTCGAAATAGTGGTTGGCTCGTGTAGACGCTAGTGAAGTTATTTCGAAATAACTTTGCTGTGTCGACATACCCTTTCTGAGCAAGCACCTTCATTCTTGAGTTAAAAGCATTACCCAGTAAACAAACACCTGGCATTTCCTATATGTATGCAAAATGCTTATCAGAGGTCACCCATCAGTCTTAGAGGAACAAAATCTTCCCAACCGTTCCACAAGGGTTGGGGCTCATGGATAGAAAGTCCTGCCCATTTGCTGAATTAGAAAAAAACCCAACTCTTGATGTTTTTAGCTCCTGGAAGAGCTGTGATAACTGTCCCCATGGCTGCTGCATACAATCCCTGCCCCACAGTGACACATAACCTTAGTATAATACAGACCCCACAGATATTGCCTGGGGTTGCAATATCTGTCACAGAACTTGTAAAATGATGTTTTTCATAGAAAGGGGGATTTGTTTGCATTCTTTGCACAGTTTCAGGGAATTTCCAGATGTAAACATTTTTGGATCTAAAAACATTCCCTTCCTTTGTTTGCAACTCATTCACCCACGCATTATGCCAGCGCAAGCTATCCAAATGCTACATCTCTGTACAAGGGCAAAAAAGTCAAAAAACTAAAGTTGACCACAAAACACCTGACAAATTGGTTGGTCTCTGGGACAGGCAGAGTAAATAAAATGCTGAAAAGTTAGATTTAAAAAATATTTTCTGTTTTAATAATCTGAGATATTGCTGGGAAATGGTTTATTTTTAATACTTTAAGTTAAAAAGTTACACCTTTGCAGCCAAATTCTGATATCCTTTAAACATGAAGTTATCCCGGATTTACAGAGAATTCACAGCATAGTTCATCATTAGTTACATTCCACCCACATGTTAAACCCGCTTATCCCAAGTTTTGCTCCCCACTTCCCCTCTTCCCCAGGAAAGGAGTTCTTTGTTGGCCCCAACTCCCCTACAATGGATTGTACTGTTGGTGAAAGTGACAACTGCTTCCCCACAGTAAGAATGCAGTAGCAATGTGGTCCTTGTCACACCAGAGGCTGGAAAGGAAGCCTACAGTCAAACCGCAGATGGTGTTCTCCATCCTGGAGATTTGCCCTAATTATAGCCATGAGTAGCCAGCCACCTGCATAGCTGCACCAGTGCAGAGCCCTAGTAGATGCAAGGAAGGCCACTTACTGCAGTGGTGGAGCTTACCCCTATCTGAAACTGAGGTGCGAAGGGCAGCTTAGAGCAGGGCACTCTGCTTAGACTGGGTAACTGCACTGGTGACTGTGCACCTATGACTAGAACTGAAGCAAATCTTCTGGGCAGATAAGAGTAAACCTGAAAGATCTCAGGTCACATCGCATGCTTTCCCTTTAGGTTTTTCATTAGGGATGTGAATGGTAACTGGTGAGCATCACCCTTAACAGTTAACCGTTACCTTGGGAACAGCCCCTCACCCAAGGCCAGTTGCAGGTGGAGGGCAGCTTCAGCCCTGCGGGGTTGCCAGCTCCCAGCCTGTGCGGGCTCACAAGCTAGGAGGGGGCAGAAGCAGCAGCAGGGGTGAGTGAAGGCAGGGAAAGCCTCCCAGCACAAGGCTGCTGACTCCTAGCACACAAAGGCTGGGACCAGCCGCCCTGAAGAGATGGAGCAGTGCCTGGTGCAGAGGCCGCTCCAGCCCCTCCCCCAGTTAACCAGTTACAATTAACATTTAACTGATTAACTAATTAAATGGGATTTTACATCCCTACTTTTCATACAAATATTTTGCACTAAAGCACCTTTCTTCTGACGGTCTCCAAGCATTTTATAGCCACAAGCTTAATTAAGTCTCCAGTACCCCTGCAATGTAGGTCAATAATATACCAATTTACAGGAGGGGGGATGGAGACACAGGGAAGTTAAAAACTAAATTAAAGGGCATTTGTGAAAATATAAGTGCCCCATATAAACAGAACCCAGTTATCTGAGTGCTCTAAGCTTCAGACCTTTCTGTTTCATATTAAGCCTTTTTGCATTTTAATTCAACAGGCTAAATACACACCTGGCACAATTCCACTGCAGCTACTGAAGTTAAACCAGGGATCCACTCTGACCTACGTCTGCAAAGCACAGCATAAGCATACAGCACTATAAAACTGAAAAACTGAAGAAAAAAAAACCTTCAGAAAGCAACAGAAACGCCACTATTTGACTCGGAGGCCTTATCTGATAAAGGTAATTTCTTTTTTTAATCTATTATTTTTTATTTACTTAGACCCAAATATCCAAAAAGCCAACTTAAAGTTATGCATGGGGTGGTATTCAGAATAAAGATGTCTATTTAATTTGTGTTTACCAACCACAAACACAACTGCAAGAGGGAAAAGCTGTGCACAGTTTGAACCTATTAGACTTATCAGATTACAATTGTAGTTTGCTCTTTTGTGTGTGTTAAAACAGACTTACAAAATAAAGAAAAAAATCATTTAATCTACTGGCTCAACTACTGCATGTATATGTTTTTATTTCTTTTAAAAAAATCACTGTTGAGCAAATAACGAAACTATGGGATAGTCCATATACTTTCTATTTCCTGTACCTTTTAGCTATTTTATCAGTGCTCTTGTCTTAGAACCCAGAAGGTCACAGTTTGGCATTCATCCCACAACTAAATACAGAGTCATGCTTCTAAGCTGACAGGCGACAACTGCATGAATGAGATTTAACCATAAAGCTCTCCTACCTTTATCTTGAATGTTTTCCTCCAAAACTGTTTTTGTATCTGTCAGCACCTTCTCTGAAGTAGCATGGATCAATTTATGATGAGTTATGCTTTTTGGATCCTCTAAGCTCCCAGGTACACACTAGAGAAAATGATAAATGCTGAGCATCAGAGGACAGGAATAATAAACCTACTACATAAATCACTGCACCTCATATTGAAGGGAGTCTCCACATTTGAACTGTGCCTGCATTTACCAGTCTTTTAATAGCGTAAGTAATAGGACAATTTTCCAGAGGCTAATATACAGAGTATAACATACTAAAGAAACAGAGTTGAGTCATACTGTAACACTACTCACTGGTAACGAACAGGCAAACGGGTTTCTTTTCATATAAACAGGAGCCCTGGTTGGAAGGAGCAAACATTCAAAAGCAGGATTTCAGACCTATCATAGTGATGCTTTAAAAAATTAAAACTGGTAAAAAGCTGGATGGTGGTTCCTG